AAGTGCTAATGTCCCCCAAGTCTGTGTAAGGTTCTGTTTAATAAAAAATGTAAGATCTTAGGGAGTTCCTGAGTTTTTATGGCCCCATTATATTGTCCAAATACAGGAGGTGGTGACCAGTGTCCCATTGGTAGAGTCAACCATTGAGTCAAAGACTGGGATAGTCAAGTGAGAAGTTGGATTCGTGGGACATGTTCAATGCTTTATAATTTAATGCAAATTTTAATTATGCAAATTTAAAATTGTGTGGCAGAAAATATATTGATAAAGTCTCATTATACGTGTAATTTCAAAGCATATGAATTTTTCCCACAAACTTCTGCATTATCGTGAATCACATAACCCCAGAGCTGGCAAGGCCAGTGAATTAACCCTGTTCATGTTATTGCTACATGGCTTTAGCTGATAAATGGAAACGTCCATCCACCACTGACAGACTCAGTCCTGAACTGTTCAAGATCTTCAGGTAGTCATCTCTCACATAAAGTTTGAACCGTCCTTTTAAAATGGTGTATACTGTAATAATCACAAGATCTGTGGCCTTGGTCATTAAGACTTAGCTAAAGATCAATCTTCTATGCTCCATCTCCATGTAAATATGAACCATTTTCTAACGGCAAATAAATTATTCCTCAGGTCCATAGGCATTTTAGGTCTTATATGGTGATGTTGACATAACACCAAAGTGTTAATTTACTTTGATTAAAATTCTCAGTTATCCAGGCATTTCATTACAACACACCAAATGTCACAAGTGCCTGAACTGATCATAGATTTCTCATGCCAGCAGAAAGAGAGAGAAAAAAATCTTTTGGAATTTTAAGACATTCTTCTATTCCTGCCACCTCGTCTCCTCACAACACCCAACCCAGTCTTGGTTTAAGCCAATTTCGACATTTTTTGCCTTATTGGGAGCCCTGGCTGAATTGTATAGCAATCACAACAAAATGTAACAAAAGTCCAAGAGGTTATCTTTCACAAAGAACAATTAATTGGGGTTCAGTTTGTAATTTGAAAGCCCTAGGTCAACCTGGAATCCTGGAGAACGTAGCTGCTACAGCCATTACTCCAGCTCCCATTTTCATTGGCTATAATGCTTCCAGTTCCAAAACTGAAAAAGCTAAAGTGTGGCAAGCGTCTTGCCTCTTTCTGCTTAAGCAACTCTATATTGCTCTAAAATTAGATTCTAATGGAAATCTCTGAGAACTACTGCAAGTCTTTGATTATGGTAGAAAATGAAAAATTATTTCAACCAACTAAGGAATTAACCCACTTTCTCCCAAAACCAGAAGTACAAGTATTTACAGAAAAGCTTCCTGAGGAATCTAGATAAAATGAAATTTTTTCCTGAATAATAGAGATTATGTCTTGTAAAGCTGTAAATCTAAACTACTATCTTTCGTGAATGGTCAGTATATTTAGCTGGGCAAAGCATAAATTTGTGAGGATCTTCAAAGGAATTTATATGAATTGTTTATGGACATACAGAAGATGCTAGTGGGCCTGTGAACCCACTGGTTCTGCACTGTATTCCCAAAATGTTTTCTTTATGTCACTAATAAAATACCATTCTTGATATTTTAAAAAGCTTTTTCTTCACTAATGAAGTCATATACTACAAATTCTAATTTGTAAATTTGTGAATTTCCCTAGAGATGTTTTTTAATATCCTATGTCCAAAATGTAATTTAGAAAAGAAAATGTGAGCAGGAGAAATAAAGAGAAACAAGGAAGAGAGAGAGGGGAATGAAGGGAGGAAGGAGAGATATCCTATAGACAGTGCTTCCTCCTGAAAAGGTTAGCCAGTCAATATAACTTGGCACTAATAATGTGATATAGTTCCCTGGCATAGAGTTTTCTTTGAAAACTCATTCTGGAACTTATCTCAGAGGCCTTGGTGAGCTTCCTGAAGGAACACAAACTGATGCTCTTTGCAGATACATCAATGTGCTTAACTTAGGGTGAGGTTTTCTAGAGGTCCATTTGCAAGGTTTTCATGAATAGGCTTCAAGGAGCCATGAACCCCTTGAAATTGCATAGAAACATTTTTGTGATTGCCCATTTATTTTTCAGGTGAAAGGGTCACTAGCTTTCATCAGATTCATGAAAGTATTCAAAGATCCTTGTTTCCAAAAAGTAGGCTAAGAACCATTGCTTTAGGTCATTACTAATTATTTGGTAGCATTTTCTTTTCTCAGAAACAAAAGTAATGTGTGTGTGTGTGGGTGTGTGTGTCCTGACACAATGGCTTAATGTTACTATACATTGGCAAGTTTAATTTATATGAAGCATGATATTTTTAGGCATAGACTGATTCTCCACCACCCATAACTAAGAAATTCAAAAATGCTTTTGTTTTAGGCTCTAAAAGCTTTTAATGTCTCTGGAACAAATTTCCATGTATTATCACTGAAGGAAATGGGAGAGAATTTAGAGGCATACATATATCAGATATATTCAATATATATGAAAAAGTAGATGGTATTTTGATGCTTTGCTCCATCCTATTTTTAGCACTATATATATAATAATAGTGTATATATATATATTTATATATATATTATAGTTGTTTTCATCATTTTTATTGATAACAGCTTCATACCAAATATAGAAAGTCTGATCATTTAATATGCTTCTGTATTTCTAGAGGTTATAACAGTTTGATTCATTGACAAATATATTGGTAGGAAATCAACTGACAGTTTATTGCTCTCAAATGATATAAAAATTGATCCTCAGAACCTATGTATCCTCTCAAAAAAAAAGAGGTTTCCAGCCATCTTGCCTGTTGTCTGGTAGACTCTAGATCACTGGAACATTCTAGAAGGTCCCTTCTAGGATTTCTCCCTCCATGAAGAACACTGAGTGGATTACAGTTGGTCTGTGAGTTGGAGTAAAGATCCCACTGACAGAATCAGTCCTCAAGAGTCAGAATTTGGCAAAGTCCTCTCTTAGAAGATCCTAGAATGAGTCTAAATACATCATTTGGTATAAACAGCAGATATAGAGTATTGTTCCTTGATATGAAGCTATTTAGGAGCATGTGCTAAAACAAAGCAAAGAGGAAAAATTAAATAGCATAGCACTTTGGGAAATACCTCTTAAAGTAATTTTAAACATTGGAAAAGAGACTCTTTCCCAAGTCATATTAAAATACAAATCCAAATGGGGTGGGTATTTTTTATGTCAGCAAATTCCCTCCAAAAGAAAGGTCCTGTATTACCATTTCAAGTTAGCCCTTAATCTTCAAAGAGCCTTTCAACAAGAACTTACTTAATCCTCATAATCAGCAGCAATGGGGAAAGTGTCTCCTTCATAGACACCCAAAGAGCTTTAAAGCAAGTGGCCTTTTGTCTGAGTCATTAAGGGCTTCTGGGTCAAAGGAGAGCAGCGCAACCTTTCACTTCCCTCTCATTTGATTTGAAAGAGTAATTCTCAAAACCACCGCATGCACAGAAAACCCTGGTGGGTCCAAGGGTCATCTCTCTCGCCAATTCCTTCTGGGGAACAAAAAAATCTTGGCATGTTGCCGTGATCAATAATTGTCACTTTCTTACATTTTTAAAATGTAGATTTAAAACAGCACCAATTTTTGTGTAACTGACATTTTGGACCATTCCTTTAAGATGAAAATCAAACCATGAAAAACACTGACTTAGAAAAGATGAGGTCCGAGGAGATGGATGGACTTACACTTGAAAGTAAAACAGGCCACACAAGTCAAATAAATCTCTTATTAATGGAGCAAGAAACCAAACCCCAAACTATTATTTCTCACAGGAAAGAAGTTTCTTGATATAAGATAAAACCACAGCAGAAGGGGGAAGAGCGAGAACTGAGATGACAAAGGGCTTTTTTTAGTTCATATTTACAGAAGTGGTACAGAATCTTGATTACGTCTTTTTTAAGATAACTACTCTGTGTACTGAGCAAAACCGTCTCATTTATATGGCACTGCTCAATTCCCTAACTATTCTGGGAAGACAGAGTGAGAAAATACAGTGTGATAACAAAACTGGGCAAAAGCATGTTATTCAATGAACAATGGTTGTACTTGAGATGTCACCTGAAAACAAATTGAATTTCTTTCTCATCGTGTCTCTCACAGACATTTGTTTATAATACTTCTCTTTAATAGGTTAAGTTGAACCACTTGTAAGTGCTGATGTTAGGGTAGTTTTTACTTGAAAACAGCAACGTCTTATGGCTCAGCATAAATAGCTTAAATACTTTAGGAAAAGTCTGTGAAACCCCTGAATTCAACTGCATTCAACAAATGTTTCCTGATGACCCATGATGTGCCTGGCACGTTGCTCAGTAGTGAAGGATACGATAATGGCAGATGGCAGATGCCATGTCTCCAGGGTACTTTATTATGCCTGTTATGCTGTTAAGAATAAATAACCAAGCTGATTATTTAAGGGCAGAAATAGATAGACCTCTAATTTAGCCAGCAGTTGATTCAACAAGTCAAAATATGCTCCCAGCTGATTTTGATAGTCCTTAATAAAAAGAACCATCAGGCATTTTCTTAGCTCTGTGATGACTCCAGGGAGGTGCCATTTTTTTAACTTCCCATTTTTCATATAGGAAACTGAACCACTGGATACATACGAGATGAGACTTGCTTAAGATCACATTTAGCTCCCAATCTTTTCGCTGCTGGCCCAGTGCTTCATCTACTAACCAATTCCTTTCTCTTCCTCCTCACCCTTTGTCCGCAACTGACCAGTATGGTAATCGGTGCCTTCACTGACCCCAGCCCCAGTGCTCCGGAAGCTGTGGGGAGAGAGCAAAGTTAAATAGACTCTCTGGTGGGGAAATTCTGCTAAAGGGTTTTCAGTAAATTTCCGCTCCATATTTTATCCCTTCATGTCTTCTTACCTCCCCCGTGCTCAGTAATTTTAGTTTGTGCTTTTTGTTTCTCTTTTTGTTTCTTTGGTTTGCTGGCTTTGTGTTCTTTTCTCTTTTTTTCCTTTTCTTTTCCTTTTTTAATGCAGGAATCGGTCAAGGCGTTCCGGTGGTGGCGCTCATTGTGGAAGGAGGACCCAACGTGATCTCAATTGTCTTGGAGTACCTTCGAGACACCCCTCCCGTGCCGGTTGTTGTCTGTGATGGCAGTGGACGGGCATCTGACATCCTGGCATTTGGGCATAAATATTCAGAAGAAGGCGGGTAGGTAATTTGCCAGGCCCCATAGGAGACCCATGAGTGCAAAGCCTGTGTTCCACACTTGGCAAAGAGGGTATTAGTTGATGAAGATGTTTGGCATGGTAGGGTGGTGGGGAAGAGCAGGGCAACAATTCTAACTGTTCTGTGAAGCAGGAAATTCCATGAAAGCTACACTAGACCACACTGATGATAAAGAGGATGAGGGGAGGGGAGGAGTCATAGGTCGAGGCCTCCTTTCTCTTCTTGTCATTTCTCTTTCTCTCTTTTCCTCCTCCCACCAAGGAGAAGCAGTAATTGGGTTTTAACACATGAAGCACAGCTAATCTGGACCATATAGTGCAGGCTGGTAACTTGGGAGATGCTGTGATGTGCCGCTTCCAGGCTTGTCCTATAAACACCAGCTTTGCCAAATTGTTGTGTGTTTACAAATGCTAAATGTTTACAAACCCATGCAGCAGCCTGGGCTGTCAGATCTCTCTGGATTGGCTTGGAAAGTGGAATCTCTGTAACAGTAACCACTCTGGTCCTGTGTAAACTTTCCCTGGTCCCCTCCTGCCCTTTCCTTTTTCTATCAGCCCCCTAATGCTGCTTTCAACAGTCCAAAGCCCCCACCCCCACGGAGGACTTCCTTTCACAGCCTCCCCTCTGATCTGAGGTCCCACTCAGTGAATCAGGAAAGCCAGGCCCTCTTGCAGATTAGTTGATCAAAGCAATTCATCCCAAGGTGTGAATGAGTTTAAGGAGGAAAACTCAAAGGAGCCAGTGAGGTTTTACATAAGGAACTTCCTGACCTGATCAATTCTCCTAACACATGAAACTAGGGGGAGAAAGGAGCCCCAAAGGAGATAGGGGTCTTTTCTTCATCATCCCTTTTACAAATATACAGTGTCTACTAGGTGCCATGCGCTATGTTGAATACCAAGATGTGAAAAAGAATAATATTCTATTCTTACCCTCAAAGAGCTCACAGTAAGTCTAGTAAGTAGATAAGCTTATAATTATAATAATAAAAGTGACAGGTGAGCTGGCCTACTTCAGGACACTCCCACCTCCACCTCTCTCTCACCTGGCCTGACCTAAACTACAGACTCAGCATGACAGCTGCGTGCCATCTCTTCTCTCCTTATTCCTCTCCTTGTCTTTGCCAGCGCCCGGCACTCCAGGGGAGCCATTAACACAGCATCCTTCCCTGGTAAGTGCATGAACCTAAATATGTGAAGGGAGGAATAACGGCAGCCACACGGCCTCCAGCTTAACATCGCAAACCTTGACAGTGATTTTAGGCCCCATGAAAGCTTTTGATTAAAAAAAAAAGCTAATTTTTGTAAGCTTTTTTGTGATTTTGTAATTTTGAAGTTGGAGTTTGCTTACTGGCAAACTTAATCCAATTACTTTTATCTTCTCCTTTGATACTAAATATTAGTCCATTTTATAGCTAACGAACTAAAAAGAGAACAGTTGTCCAAATGCCTCCATGTCTGGCACCAACCAGAATTCAAGATCCTCCACTGTGCTTTGTTTTTATTAAAAGTTTAACCACAGTTCTCATTGATTTGACTATAGGAATTTGTTCTTTTTTTCAGAAATAAGTTAAAGAATACACAGTTTTTAGCCTTGGCTTCTTTGCTGCTTCCTAGCGTATGCAATTATTTTATTGTATTCCTACAAGGATGATACAAGTTGATACATTCAGAATGCACGTTACCTTTTGAGAAGACTAATGAAAAAGTAAACTGTTCATCTCAGCATTTCAAGTTTCCTAGGTCTATTTACAGTGAAAGTCTGGACCTAGTGCTTATTTTTTTGTCATTATCATGGGTTGTGTCCTTGAAAATGTTAAAATCGTCTATAAGTTGCGCTTCCTGATTCCGTTTTAATATAGGAGAAATGTTATACATTTTAGAGCTGGTGGAACTGTCTATTATTTAACCTAAGGGACAAATACACAGGGAAGTGCTTTCTCAAGGCCACAGAGCCCACAATCCCAGGTCAAGATTCTTTCTGGTGTATTATGAAAATTCACTGAGGGCCAGCCAGGTGGCGCAGCGGCTAAGTTCACACGTTCCGTTTCGGCGGCCCAGGGCTCACCGGTTTGGATCCCGGGTGCTGACATGGCACCACTTGGCAAAAGCCATGCTGTGGCAGGCATCCCACGTATAAAAGTAGAGGAAGATGAGCATGGACGTTAGCTCAGGGCCAGTCTTCCTCAGCAAAAAGAGGAGGATTGGGAGTAGTTAGTTCAGGGCCAATCTTTCTCAAAAAAGAAAAAATTCACTGAAATGTGTTTTGTGGTATGTGCCTTAATGTATCTCACATAGAACTTCAATGATACTGTCTTTTAAATATGTAAGTGTACTCAAGTTGCCTTCAGCTTTCTCGATGCATTATAACTTTTTTTTTATTATGTGTGTTCCAAAAAGATAAAATCAATGCATTCCTGGTGGTAAACCAACGCCCAAGCTGATCAACCCTACATCATGTGGATGCTTTTCTTTCCCCCACGCAGACTATTATACCACAACCCCAAGAATAAGAGTCAGAAATATCATGCCCTTTTAACTTTAATTGGCAGTTTTAGTTTTAAAAGTAAAGTTTAGTTTTAGTTCTAATTATTTTATGGTCACAATATGCAAAAGCACAATCTATGTGGGATCTATGCAAACATATGAACCATGGCTGATTATCAAAGAATGTGAAGTCATGCATGTAACTGGTGTGGAGATAAAGGATTAAGATAGAATTTCATATCTTGAGAATTATTAAAATTAAAACAAAAATTTTTCAGAAACATTTAGAAATGGTTATTGGGAAAATAGAAGCCTAAAAAGAAGCATTATATTTGCTTCTAAACTATATTTGCTTCTAAAACTGCCAATTAAAGTTAAAAGGGCATGATATTTCTGACTCTTATTCTTGGGGTTGTGGTATAATAGTCTGCGTGGGGGAAAGAAAAGCATCCACATGATGTAGGGTTGATCACCTTGGCGTTGGTTTACCACCAGGAATGCATTGATTTTATCTTTTTGGAACACACAGAATATATATCCAAATATATATATATATATATAACGTCATGATCAAAGTATGCTCTTGCTTCGGGAAGGCAATTATAAATTTATCATGATAAAATGAATTCAGAATGTTTCTATGTGCCATTTGAATAACTGCCAGAATTAATCATGTTTATTTAGCTTGATAAGAAATTGTTGGGGCCGGCCCAGTGGCGCAGTGGTTAAGTTCACACATTCCACTTCAGCAGCCCGGGGTTCGCTGGTTCAGATCCCAGGTGAGGACCTATGCACTGCTTCGCAAGCCATGCTGTGACAGGTGTCCTACATATAAAGTAGAGGAAGTAGAGGAAGATGGGCATGGATATTAGCTCAGGGCCAGTCTTCTTCAGCAAAAAAAGAGGAGGATTGGCAGCAGATGTTAGCTCAGGGCTAATCTTCCTCAAAAAAAAAAAAGAGAAATTGTCTAGCCACACATGTGCAGCCAATTTAAAAAATCATTTCCAAAAACATTATTTTGCAATAGTGTGCTTTCTTTATGCTAACACAAGAATTTGCCCACCTAGACTTCATTCACCAAGAGGGATTTCTTCATCAATTTCTAACAAAGTCCAACAGAGTTGGGACATGTTTCACTATAAATAAATATAAATGCACAACTATCTGTTCATATAAACAAAACTATATAAATAAATGTGTGTGATTATACATATAAAATTGAACCTAGGAAACATCACACATCCTGTTTATGAAAACTGAGGTGGGATTTGAAATCATTGATTTTTACTTTTCAGTTACTTTAGTAATTTAAATATGATTTTTTAATTTTAAGTTTATTTACAGATTGCTAAATAATACAAGCCCAAGTACTATTAGTGTATAAATTCAGCTATAAAGCTTTTCATTTTATAATCTTAAAGGAGTGAGTGAAATTTACACACCTTGTATTTTAACTTTTCTGAACTTGATATTTTGCCTTTAAATTCCCTGTTATTAACCACCTTCCGAGACTATGAATTTGAAAGGGAATCACTTTGGAAGCAAATTAAAATTGGCAAAGCTAATTAAGTTTTGTAGATGAGATTATTTGAGGTAAAAAAAAAAAAAAGAGAGAGAGAGAGACTATCCCAATGCAAATGGGTTTGGATCAGGGAGGAGACAATTGCAATCAAATTCTTCTTTTTGGCTTTTTCTCCCCATCTCTGCGTTGTGGCATATACTACCTGAAAGAAATTGTCAAACTTTGGTTTTACTTTATTGTCATACTGGATTTTCTGTTGTCATTCATCGTGGTTGAGAATGAGTCACAAGTCACTTTCCCAAACTAATTTCCTTGCTTCAGAAATATTACCAAATTTTATTTCTGAATCACAAATGACTAAACGTTACAAACGTAGATAGATTAATGCTACCCAAGTAGCATTAGATTGAATTACCTAAGTTTTTAAATACCAGGATTCCACTTTTTACTGTGTTGATGAAGCAAGATGACCAGGATTACCCAAAGACGGGAGCACCTTTCAGGCTGTAGGTGCCTGAAGGTGAAGTCAGAGGTCACTTTGCCTGATAATTGTCAACCTAAGTCTCAGATTGCAGAGAAATGTGGCCTAGCTCCCCTTCATTTATCAACCAGTGAGCAAGGACCTCACAGATGAAAAGTGTCAGTGTGAAAAAGGCATCTGAATGAATGTGTGTTCTGAGATGATGCCCCTCATCCATCCAAATTTTATTACTGATGCTTATATTTATTTTGGTGTCTTTTTCCCAAAAATAATCATCTGGACTTATCATTTTTAGACACCCTAGAACAAGAAGCAGAACTGGTGGTAGAAGAAAGCCTTGAAGCTTTTAAGTGGTCTGTTCATAACTTTTGGGAAGTTATCAATGAGGCAAACACCAATAGACTTCACCTTCTTATGTCCCAGTGGAATCTGCCTTAGAAAATGCGACGTAAAAATGAGCAATGGCTTGCTCTTGAGGACAAGGGAATAGATA